CCATGCGGAGTAAACGTGATTTAAGAGGTTTTGATTAATTAGTGGTGAGGTCTCTGATCATGGCACTGGATGATATTGATTTAAAGTGCACCATGTGCACCATTTCCTCAAGGTTATAAACAACTCTCATAGTCAAGTGCGATCTAGCGCAAAATCTAGGTCTGGAATCGTCTGTCAGTTGCCGCTGACTACCTAAAAGTATGCACATACATTAAGTTACTAAATACGACTAACACAATTATGTTATTGCCAGAGCTCAGATAGATACACCCTTCTGATAATTAAAAAATCGTGTGAAATTAAAGATCTTATATTCTGCTCATTAACTGCGACAGAAATTCTAATGATTTTTCTTGCTTTAAGAACGTCTTAAATTCATTTTAATTAAAATATTCTTCTCATTTGTTTGATGTCAATCAAAGGAATAGATTGAACCTCATTAGAGCATTCTAATGATTATTAGAAGCAACTTAAATGAAATCCTCAGCATCATTTGGAAAACGGTTACAACAGCTTTCGATATATTTTCAGTGTATTGATTGACACCGGGATTTTAAATTCAGTGATAGAACAATACCTTAGAATCAACCAGGACAAAAGGTTTTTATGCAACCTGATGAGGTTTATTAGTCCAGTTTTGACAATATCACAAAAGAAGAACTAAAAGGTCTGTTTATTCCTGCTAATTGATTAAATACATCCGGAAGAAGCCATCGATCTAGGTTTTATTATAGACGAATAGAAGGATACTTCCACTGAAGCTTAATCGGCATCACTCAGCTTGGTTCACCGAATAATTTAAAAATCAATACTAAAGTCTTACTCTTCCACAAATCTTTATACTTTTCCGGATATTCAATGTACTTTTTAAAACTAATCTATCACAAACATTAAAAATACTTTCACCGTTTAATAGTATAAAAACTATCATTTCAATAAATATTAAACCACATATTCTTTGAACTATTTTAACCAAAACCATGTAGTTTTCAAGAATATACCAAAAAGAAATTCCTCGTTATTTTATTTTTATTTTAATGTGAAATAGCCTTCTACATTAAATGACAGATGTAGTGATATCAGTCATTACCTTTACGCCATATCATTTGTATTAAAATCATGAATTTTATCATCAATATAGCAAACAACCTTTCAGATTCGTCCGTCTTACGTATGATAAAAGAAAATTTCTTGAAAAGAAAATTAAATTGATGAGGAAAGTAATTATTTATAATTAATAAATGTAACTTCATCAAGTTCCTTATTCTATCATAAATATAAAACCTATTATTGAACAGGATAAGTATTTACTAATAATGAATGAGTTTATCATTTCAAAAGAAGACAAACACAATTAAATGAAAAGAAAATATTTTTTTTTAAAAAAAACAATTTTTTGTGTACGCTGAATCGAATATGTGCATTTTGTAATCATTCCCTACAATAGTAAAATTGATCAACAAACAATTCATGAAAACATCTATTGAAATGTCTTCCTGTATCATATTGTATGGAGAGTTATTGAAGCTTATACACAAATGAAATATATAACAGTTTAAAAAACAAAAAGAATGAATATGGATTATCAAACCAAAGACGATTCACATATATGAACAGTAAAACTGGAAGAGGTTGTGATGAAATTTTATAAATAAGAGAAAAATTTATGCATTACACAATATGTTAAAGAATCTAATGAAAAAAGATTATTCTACTTTAAACAGTGATGCTTAGTGAAAATGATAATTCGAAATTTGTAAATAGTATCTCCTTTCATGTTTGAAATTTGTTCGTACAATAATTGTATGTCAAAGAAACAAATTATTGACAGTTATTAAGAATGAAAAAAACAAACACATGAATATTGTTTTGCTAGCCAAGAGATCTAGAAAATAAAAATATATTAACTAATTATGTTTTAATTCAATTTCATTAAATATTTTTCTGAGCAAAAAGTCGTTCATTAGTATCTCTTGATACAGTCAACAGTTTTAATCATCGCGAAATGCTGGTGGAACTTCTGGTTCAGTACTTCGTGGTACTGAAACAACTACTGCAATTACTATGGTGGTAATGTAAATAAAGAAAAATAAACGATCCAAGACAATAGCCAAAGTGCGCCATTCCATAGCCACTAAACTTTTACGAGCTGTTTCCTTTTGTCGGTTAACTAACATTTTGACATATTTTTTCAACTCTCTCACATCACGCTCCAGTGTAGTGGTTGAACTTAGAACTGATGGTGATTCATCATGATTAACTGCATTATCTGGCTCATTTTCTGATGATTTTCCTGCACTTCCCGGTATATGAGGTATATTATTGATTGGTGTGGCCATTGGATAAGAATCGAATTGATTAGGGTATCTTGGGACAGAACGACGTTCATTTGGAGCAAACCAATTACTAGCAGCTCCTCCTAATTGTTCTTCTCCATACAAAAAATTACTACCAATCATATTGCATTGTTGAAATGCCCCACCTCCAAAATGTCTAATACGTTCATTCTCACAGTATGTTTCTTCATTTGTTGGAATTTTATTGGGTGACATACCTGGAATTTGAATCTTCTTGTGAGGTTTTATTATTGCCGGCCTAATTGGTTTTTTCATTTCTGGTAGAGGAATTCGCTGCCGTACTAATGTGAGTCGTCCAATACCCTCTATAATAATCTGAAAAATCAGGGAAAATATAGAATCTTTTTTGAATATGAAACATATCAAACTTAGTAATCTACTTAACTAGTTAATAAGTATTTCCACCTATGTCAAATAAACCTGATTACATAGTTTTATTATTATATATATATCAGTACATAAATTATTAAAAACATTTACACAATCATCTTGATCAATCAGTTTGTCAACAACAGATTGTGATAATGCGATTTAACTTGAAATATCAAGGAACATCTAAAGTACATAGCACATAATTACGTTAAACATAAGAAAAATTATTAGCGCTTTATTAAGTTTTTTTTCCTAGACTTAATTTACAATAACAAATTGTCATAACTAATGACTCAATTAGTTGTATAGTTATGCTAAGTCTAAAATATAAATATTATCTTTCAATGCTATACTTTTCTAATAATCACATTTTCCGTATTTTATACAGAGAATAAGTTAGTTCAAAATTTAAATTATTCGTACAACTGATTATCAGATTATTGATAAGTATTACCTACCATTTTACATAATTTGACATTGTGTCTTTAAACTAAGTAAATATGTTTAAGTAGTCTTTATTTATTTTAACAGTCAAATTCACGACTCGATCTAAGCCAGACCATCACTGAAAACCTGGAAGCACTGGACAGTTGTTTCGTCCTAGTGTAGGACTCCTCAGCATTGAGCATCCACGATCGCCATACACTGAACTCGAACTTGTTTTAAATACACACAAGTTGTGTTAATTCGTTTATTTATCCACTCCGAAGAAGTGGCTTACACCAAGTCACAAAACGTCAGAAATACAATTTTCTACTCATTGGGATATAAGAAAAATATTTATTACTAACTTTCTACCCAATGTACAATTTATTTGAAGCTATTAAGTCCAACCTTAACGTTGATACTTATATATAGTACTTTTATTTAATTTTACTAAACTATTTACAAAGACACTTACTCTTCTCAAAACGTATGGAACTGATCCATTACGATCGCCTCGAAAATAAAGGTGAATCACCAAAGTTGCCAAGAAAGTGGACAGTGTGATCATAATCATATTCAAACAAAAATACACTCCTAAAGTTGAAGAAATATTAATCAAAAAAGACTATCTTTGTTATTTGGAGTAAACTTTAATCAATAGAAAATTTATTATTATTTAGTGGGTAGTAACTGTACTTATATCATTTCGGAAAGTAGATGATCCTGTTAAAGTGTTAATAGATAGCTTCTTATCAGAATTACCTAATGACACTAACCATTTGGATATTTGTATAATATGTATTGTGTTACAATTTACTACTAACATATATGTAATAAAAATCCTTATGTTGTTGGATGATTCTAAGGATTACTATTCATATTACTTGAATGTAGTTCATCGGTCTGTTCTATTGTATTATTTCATATCACTCCCAAAGGTAGCAATGTAATATTTCATTCAATATGATATAATCATTTATATATTCACTTAGTACTTATTATTTAAATATCCAGTAAACTCAAATAAGTGATATTCTTTTTAAATAGTAACATTTTGTATTAAGTAAAGTAAATAAGTGAATAAACGTACCAATTAGTGGGAAATTTTTCACAGCACTAGGTGTTGACTCAGCCAACAGTAAGAGTAAAACGAAAAATGCAACAAATATATTCATACCTGATTTGAATAAAAAATCGAAATATTTACCAAAAAACACAATGAAATAGACTTAATAAATTTAAAGGACTTATGGAGAAAAAATATCATGAAAGATACATATATATGTTTGTAACTGTTGCTATGCCATATGATTTAATAATAGCAAAATGATATCTTAATAAAATATTTTCAAGGCTAAATACAGAATGTTTCAATGGTTAAATCGTAGGAACTAATACTCATTTCATCAGTGAAAGTAGAAACTAAACCTTTTTTAAGATATACAGATTGTGAGTACTGGACTAACGAATAGAACAATCTGATATTTTGAAATACCTCATAAATTTATTTTAAAATAAAATGAGAGTCACATTCATATCAAAGGAATGACTTAAACTAATTCATCTTTTCATATGAAAATTTATGGTGACAACACATTCATTCTCTAGATCGTAAAGCAAAGCTTCTTGATACCGCCTTTTTAAGATAAATTTTAAAAGAACCCTGAATATTTTATTGGAATTCTTTTTGAAGATATTGTTTTAATTTCCCCTAGTAACTTTACTGTAAAGTCTAAACTACCCGGAAGAAACATTTAGTACTCAGGTTAATTAAAATAGGTAACAAAAGTAAGTCACAGTGAAGTCATAATATCAGCAAAATGGTACATGTGTTGCTATTCTTACCAAGCATCATTTTTGCTGGAGATTCTGGAGGCAACCAAAATACAACCAATGTTAAAGATGATAACAACACACATGGAATCACTAACATGAATACATAAAAACTCGGGTTCCTTCTCAAACGTATTAAATATCGTAAAACTGGATATTCTCTTGTGATCACTTCGTTACCAACAGTTTGACTTCGACGTCGATGTTTCTTAACTGATCGAATTTGTATAGTACGGTTAACATGGTGTACTTCACGTTCTTTCTCACCATCCGTACGCCATTCATTACTTGGTACGTAATCTGAGAAATCTAAATATGGCATTTCTTCTATGGGAGGTGAATCTGGAATCCACCATGATATGTCCATTTGTGTTTTATCGTACGTCCAAGATCCGAATTCTAGCATACATATCTATAAAATAATCCACATGTATTAGACTAATGAAATAATTTAATACAAGTTTCTTTTATTTTAAGTAATCCTAAAATGTGATTCAAAAATATATCTAGACAAACCATGTTATTTGTATATCAATGAATTATATGGACTCCAGTACCCACTGTAGTGGCTTTAAAAGACATGACAAATTTTAAAAAATTGTAGTTTTTACTATAATAAGTAAATCTACACTGAAATTTTAATAGTGACCACTATGGTTGATAGGGTAGGGAGATTTATTCAAGTAGAAGAAACGGTATTTCGGAAAAATGTACAATGCAGGGAGGAACAAGATTCGCAGCATTCAAATGTCTTACAAGGAAAGATGTTCTTCAACTTCAATGTAGTAGGAAAATACTACCTGTTTTCTGATTACCTAAAATCGGTGTAAAAATGCCTGTACCATCTTAACAGTCATTTGGGGTCATTGATACGAACAAAAGTTACCGAAAATGATAAACAGATATATATTTCTGTGTCCGAATTATTATGAGAAAAATATTTCAATTTAAGAAGAATGATATTACTAAGCTCAGTGATTATTTTTTTATTACCAATGATATTCAAAAATGTTTACTATCTATAATACAGTGACCAAACCAAAGGTAAATTTTCTAGATAGAGCAGAACTTCTCAAGTTCACAACTATTTATAAGAAATGACAATTTCACTAAACAAAAACATTAAAAAAACGTAACTAGAGAACAGGAAATAATATTGATTAACTGGAATATGAGTAGATCGCCTTGAAACTATTGATTTTGAAACACCTTAGTAAATGGCTGTAAAGAAACTGTAAAGAAAACTCCATACACTAAATCATATTATCCTACTTAATACCTTAAAGAGTTACTTAATTTAATAGTAGTTTTCGAAATAAACCTACATTACTTACTAATTCTCCTATCTTCGTATGCTACGCGACAATAATGAATAACTTTCGTGCATATAAAGATGGGAAAACAACACTTTCAGCTTTAATTAAGAATAAGTTTTCGTTGGGTCACTAAGTTTAAAAATAGTAATCTGTATGCATTGACTTCTATCAGTTGGTTGTATAATATAGCTGTTCTGTTGTCGTAAAACATTACTTGTAATTACTAATTATCAAAATGTCAAAATCAATTATTCAAATTTAATATAGAAGTATTAATAATCTAAGTTTAAAATTACTTGTGTATCGAACGGGAAATATGTGATTTCAACTTCACATGTACTTTTAAACAGTGCTTGTGGAACCCATAACATTTCTCCGTTACTTGACACTACAACACGAGCATCTCTGTGTTCACGTAAGCGTTCATCAGCACTAGAATATGAAGTATTTTAAAATGTCATTAACTATAAGTAAACTGAGGTTAGCAATCAAATAATTATCATGGTTGTTGACAGAATAGCATAATCATGTTAAAATTCGTTAGTTTAACACGCACACTATTCAAACCTATTCGATTGACTTCATCTCATACATTGTCTAAAGACTTATTTGACAGAGTTCAAAATAAAATGAGAACTTAAAACTTGATCTGTTGCTTCAAATGCAAAACGAAACAATTTTCTAACCACCTGGTCATTTAATGAGAATTTATGTTATAAGTAGACTCATGCAAGTCAACAAAAGATTTGTCAAATACATTTAAAACATACAGATTCCAGAAATGAAAATTTCATCTAAAAAAAGTCGTTTATTACAAGTACCATTCCAAATATTATTGCAACTATTTTCACAATTTTTAATGACCTTTTTGATGAAAAAATCCTTTCTCGGGACAATCATTTAAAAATACACTTGCATGATCAGCCTCTATTAAAAAAGCAGGGTGAAATTTGTAAAATTAACTGAATCCTAGTAAATAAAAATGAACTGTAATACACAGTCAAAGTTTCTGACACACAAAGGATATAGATATATATTTCATTCTTAAAATTAAAAAAACAACACTGATATGTAAACAGATGTGAAAAATAATAATTGGACCGTCTAATGTTGCATTTTCACAAGAGACTTCTCCCTGAATATGTCACTTTAACAGAAAGAAAGGAATATTCTGAATATCTACCGACTAAACCATAACGAAACTGATATATAAATCAAAACTTTTAATATTTATAACTTGTTTTCTGTTACACAGCATTAATATCCTTATTTACAGCATTTTTCTTACCTAGCAGAATACAAGAAAATCTACACAGTAGTGTCTTTCATGGAATCATCTTGATCTAGTTTGATTTTTATTGAACTAAATATTCTACCTTATTCTCTGATACGATTTATACCTGTTTTAATTTATTTTGGTTATTTATTTATTCCGAAGAAATGGACTACATTGAGTCATGAAACATGGAAAGTCCTAATTTCTATTCATTGTGCCATCACAAATATATCATTAAATTTAATATTTAGTTAGATCAGTAAATTAAATAGCAGGATCACAATAAACTAACTCGCCTGTTGATACTAAATGAAACATTGAATAACGACTATCAAATACAATTTCAGAACATATAGTCACTCAATCAATGAACAATAGTCATGTATATGAGACTTCACCATAGTATTTCGAAATCGTTAAATTAAAATACAAGAGCAAACATAGTCAATAAATAACTTTACAAAATCATATTTAAACTAAATTTGTTTTAATTTAGAAATGAATTTTTATAGACTGTCTTTTTTTCTTAAAGATCATATGATAAGCATAAATATGCTGAATATTTAAAATGTATGTCAGCAAGAATTTCGGGTTAAAATGACTTCCTTGGAAAATGAAATATTCATTGATTAGACAAGGTTACTCATCTTATAATGGAATAAAATAAGCTCCATAAATTGTTCCGAGAATATACTTGGTAATAACAATTAAATAATTTTAACTCATTGATTTTATATTCAATGTCTTCTCTTCACCTACTATCTTAATAAAAATAGAACCAATAAATATTCTTACAAATTATACAGTTTGATATCCGGCGTCCAAATCTGTGAAGGGAATATTCGAACTGTTTTGATATTTCCATAATCACTTTCATTCCAACGAAGAAGAGAATCTGTCCATTTCTAAAAAAAATTATTGTCATTTCAGTACTACTAATAAGTAGTCTAATCATAAAAGTAAATTATTATTAAGTTGAATAAACAAAAAACCTATAATTCTTACAAGTGAATGTGAAATAAAGTTGGTAGATTAAGTTTTGTGCTTGTATTGTGATTTACCATACCTCACTAGCTGTCAGCTTACCGGAAGTAAAGTATATTTGAAATAATACGAGTGACAACAATAATACCGTTCTAGAATGTGTTGTCGCTTTCTATTTGAACTGTGTGAAGTGCATAAAAATCATGTTAATCAAAATAATCTGAAGCTGATTAAAGAATAGATGACGTTCCATACTATAACCTTGGAAAATGGCACTGCAAGTCAAATTCTATTTGTTATCTAAGTAACTTAAGAAGCACAAATCTGTTCATTCAAACGAGTCTCCTCAAGAAAACATCTCCATATTTTAGCTCAGAAGGATAAATTTTCAAGACTTCATGAGAATTTCGGGAGTTGGGATCTCAGCTCAATTTGTTAACTGGTATATTTTCTTTAAAAATTATGACATTCAAGCATGACTTCCAGATAACTGAGTACACTTTGGATGAACTCTCTAAACACTTAACACAGATTGAAGTCCATTCTTCAAGGACTATGCTTATGCATTGTGTGGCCTTACTGGTAATATGTTCTATTTCTATGATGACTACTAGCATGATGACTTCGTCTTCGTTTATTATTAACTGAGTGCACCATATCAGTTGTCCAATTCAAAAGGAAGGATTGGACAGTACAGATAAATATATAACACATGATTCGGCTAGTATTTCTGGGAACTTATGAATATCACTTCAGTAACACAGTTACGAAAACTTTGTGGAAGATTGATTATATATTTAATGAAGAGCTAAAGGATTCAGACTTAGGGTAGGATGAATAGGTCACTAATTAAGTTACACCTTGTTGTTTTGTGAGGAAACTAATATAAAACGTGATTTGGTTCGGATTTAATATGTATGAATTTTCTCAGTTCATTATCGACTAACATCCATGGACAAGGATTCCAATACAATTTATCTACATTCTTGAAAGAAATATTTCCGTTTCAAATGTTCACTACTATAAGTAGTATAAAAACATTATGCATAATTTAAACAGGGATTTTTGTCTCACCGCTGTAAATCTAGAACAAAGCATAATTGGTTGCTAATTTATTATTAATACGTTTGGCTACTCACTACAGATGAGCTGAAGATATTTTGGTAAATATCGATAAGATATATATGTTATGAGAATTACATGACCTTTTTTATTGATCAAAAATTTCAAGTTTATTTATTCTCTAGCAGTAAAACATTTTCCGTTAAACTAATAAACTTTATATAATGAAGAATCCAAAGTTTTGTGTTAATTTCTTGCTTTTTGGCAGACCAATCGAACTGGGGACAGACCTTAAAACAGCAATCAATTACCAGTTACATCCTCGTCATAATGTCCTTATGCAACATTCGTTGGGAATAATGTTTTGTTAACTCATCATACCTTTCGCCTCATACAGACTACTATGCTTGTTGAACTTATTAAGTTATTGTTATAATATTCTATGTTATTTTGAACTTCAGAAATCCACAATAAACTAATTATATACCTCACTACCAACTGTTCATTAAGACAGTCCTGCAAATCTGGTAATTATTTCAAATTTAACTTACATACATCGACCAACAATTAGTTCGTAAAATTTGTTTATTTTCATCTAAATCCAAAATTTGGAAAAGTTGTAATCCATAACGAACATCAACTTTAATTTTGCTGTCATTTACTGGTCGTCCAATTACACCAAATTGTTCATATCGATTTAATAACATTCTGATAAGATTTTTTTCCACTGATTTTGTTTTCATCTCTGGTAAATAAATTAAGTGAAAATGTTTCCAAAATATCGAGAAAAATAAAATGAAGTTAACTGTAAATGTAGGCGAACATGTACTAATATTTGTTGAGAAGCGCTAGAAAAATGCAATTACCTGGTATAGGATATCAATTTGTGATTTAGATAGATTCCATTTACAATGTAAGTAGCTCATTAATTTATTGATTCGTCCAACAAGTTGCCTGTCAAGTCAGTCAGTCATCTACAACGTAGGACCAAGTACATATATACATCGGTCCAAGTTGCCATACCGCATTAACAGAGCAAGATGAACAGCGGATTCATAGAAGTAGTAAATTCAATGGTGGATATATATAAAAGAAAGATTGCATATAAGGATATAGGAAAGGTAGAAGGAATTAGTTAGTAGAAAGAAAAATATGAATTTTAATCTCATAGTTTAAGGAAAGACAGAGTGTATACACCCACGCCATTGTGATCGATTCTGAGGCATGTCACACAGAGTCTCCAACCATTGGTTACGATAGTCACACTGAGCCTGACCAAGTTGTCTGCATCTACCAACATGGCTCAGACCAGACGTTAATGACTTTATGGACTGATGCCACATTTTGGTTTGGTCGCCCCTAAATTTCTTCCAACCATCCCCAACACTAGTCAGCCTTGCGCATCGTGGTAATCGATGTTCAGGCATACGTAACACGTGGCTCAACCATCTCAGTCGATGAAGATTCACAACCTCATCAACTGATTTACCATCATTCCCCAATACCCAGCGTCTAACCTCACTATTACTTACCCGGTGATCCTAGCAGATGAGAGTAATATTTGCCTGTTAAATTATTTCTCGATTAGAAAACTTTCGAATAAGTTTAGAAATGTACCAAACCATCCTCAGATAGTAATGTAGTTTCACATTTGATCATTTTAAGCAATAGTGTAAACATCAAAATTTTATTGGAAAGCTTTAGTATTTTTAGTAAAAATCCTACCCTGAAAATATTGCATTTTTCTATCACCAATTCAGTCAATTTCTAACATGGCTTAAAATTTCCTCTGCTTATAATATTTGATGATGACTGGGATTAATTCCTCAGATCAATAAGCAAAGCTGAAAAAATGTCCATATCAATTAACTGCAAGAATAAGGAGCGGACAACAGTAGTGGTTTCAATGTCCTGTATTCTGCGGGATCTATCTTCGGTTTCATACTATCAAAACAAAAGGCAGACTTTACTGATGGGGATCATGTCTTTAATTTCTGAAGCAAACTAATATAAGCACATATTTCATGATTAATCTATTGAAAGTAAACGCTGTGTAGTTGAAAATTGCAAAAAATTCTTAAAACGTATAAGACGGATAGAATTTAAATGAACCAGAAAGTGATTCAGTATTGCAAATTTTAAAAAAAATTAATTAACGAAGTACGAAGGACGAAACATATTATAATTTACATCTTAACGCCCTACTTTATTAGATAGCTTTTATGTGCAGCAAACTAAATTCTTCTCTCTTTTATAAACTTTTGCATTTATGTAGCTTCACGCAATTTGATTTACATTCACGCTTTCCATTTGAAGTTTTGAATCATACAAATAATTGCCTTGATTTCACCGATCATTAATCACCTTAAATGACTAACCAGAATTCAAGTGATGTAAACAAATTTCTGGTTTCCAGATGAAAAAAATTACCATGTCGATTTAGCTAAAAAATATTCGCAACCAAGAATACATATCAATTAATAGTATATTCCTAGAAATGGTTTTGCCTGGTATACTTGACATTGTTAATAATCAGAGTACAAAGTCTGACATTTAAATTCCAAAATGAACCCTCAAAAAGGTTTGTAAGTAAAAACATCTGGAAGGATACAGAGCGTGTACAAGTTGTTTCTGTTAAAAGCGAACATGAACGTCATATGTGTTAACACTAAGATCAATATACAGATTTGAGAAAACATAACTTGTTCGCTCTCTCGCCTAGTTTTTCTCCAAGATTTTATAAAATCAAGGATTTATTTAATAATTAGTAAACAACATTACCTCTCTATGGTTTTTAAATGGTAGATGGAAAATTATCAACAGCACAATTCTAAATCATCTCGTCGATTCTGATCACTAAGTTACACTAAAATTATCCATTCAAATGATCTACATGGCTCAAAAAGAGCTCGAAAAAGTATCCTGTGTATACTAGAAGTCTTAGTGATTCAACAGTTTCAGATCAAACATTTTCTGAAAAAGCAACACTCTCATTCAGTCATAGTCCTTACATCCTTCATAAATTCTATGATAATCACTGCAGAAATAAACCATATTAACGACCTTGAAAATTTCAGGTGACATCTTAACCGATCAGAAGGCTCTGTGCGTTTATTAAGCAATTTACAAAAATTGCAAAGGATATGAAGTTTTGACATATATAATGAACCTTTTTCACGTGTTATTTCTTACGGAAGAAGAAAATGGGTTAGGCTTAAGAGCTCGAGATAAGAATCAGGGTTAGAAGTTGGGACTACGTTTTGAGGTTTAGAATTAGGGTTTGAAGTTGGTATTAGTTTTAAGAAACAGGAATTAAGACTAGGGCCTTCATAGTGAACTGATACCAGCTTTAATTGAAAAGTTAGGGTGACAAGGCTTGGATACAAAGCGTTCTTACTATCTTATTATATAGGTGAATGAACTACGCCCAAATATCCGCAAGACACTAACTTAAATCTATTTAGTTCTTCGATTAGATGCAAAGCTTCTCCAAAAACTTTAAGGTAATATTAAAGAATTTAAAATCCATATTAGATCCATTCGTTTTTTACTGTTTCTTCTTAAAAATAATAATTTAGGATTGTAGTCTCAAGAGCTATTCAAATTTCTTCCTGGATTTTAGTCTCATTACAACTAAAGTTTCAGCATATAAGTAGGGAAATATCCATAAATTTTGTTAAGTTTTAGCTCTTGACAAGTTACAACTATCTGGTATTGCGTTTTGAATTATATGCTAAAAGCTAACAAATGCCACTTTCAATCTCATTGGTAGTCTCAAGATCGTCTACATAGTTTACTTCAGATTAGTCTGTTTTTACCACCCTCTTTAAATTTTCCAAATTTGTTTGTCAGTCGTTATAATCAACCCCCGTTTTCCAATACCACTTATATCCTTCGAATTTCTCAAATGGACAGTTATTTTTTAGAACTCTGATCCTTGAATCAACATAGTTTACCATTTTTCTTTGATCTTTAGGCCATTCTTATTATTATATCGTTCAAACACATAAACATTGGTACAAGCGAGCACCAAACGCATATGCGTCACATAAAGCATTCGATTTGTGTGAGGGCTGGGATACTACCCGGGTGCACAAACTGAAACATATGGTTTCCTTGGGAAGTCACACTCTGAATCTTTGACCTAAAGGTCTAATCAACAAGGCAGTGCAGCAACGTCAGGAGATGCAGTCCCATGGTAGTCGGTGACCAACAATTGGCTCACACTCCATTTGTTCCCTTACGATATTGGAACCCATGTGCAACATCGGTTTGGAATCACGGTTTTCTAACCCTCCTAGGTGAACTCTCCGTATCCACCTACCCGGTCAAGGCGCTGGACATTCACTTTTCGTCCTCCCAATTTCGTAAACAACACCCTTGCCGCAAGAAGGCAGTGAGTAGGACTTCCCTGGCAGTGGCTGTATGCACGTGACTATGTGAGATTATTTCGAGAGGGAGAGCTGACTCTCCCCACTCTCAGTCATACCAGGGCATTTTAGGGTAAAAATAAAATTTCTAAGCACTTTATGAAGATGACTTCTCTTTTTGGAAAAAGACTAATATATCTACCAAATAACTGTTAAAACAACTGTGCAGCCTTAATACAGGATGTCATCAGAATTCCTTTCATCTGGTTTTCCAGTTCTTTGTCTTCAGTATGGCATAGCTGTTTTTGACTTTTTCCTTAACATTATTTACTACCGATCAATTCATTTCCGCCTGAGAGTAAGGACACACTGATTGTGATAAACATATCCAAGCATATCACCTATCAAAGTACTATACAGTTTAATTCAAAGTTATCAGTTTTAAATTCACTTGGAATTGTTTACTTGAATCTTCCTACTGATGTTTACTACTGAAATTTATCAGTCTCTTATTGGCATATGTGCATAGTGTGCGTATTGCCTTGATATTGTCTCAGTTCACAAGCATTATAAGCAAAAATGTATCAGATTTATTCTAGAAAACAACCATAACGTTGTATTTTAGGTTTAAACAAACATTATGTATGGATTGCATCTGAAATTTTTGGAACTTTGTTAGTTATGTCTATTAATATTTTGACATCACGAGCTTCACGAACAAAAAACTGTATTGATATATTCATTTAAAAGAGAAAAAAAATGCTGTTAAATGCCCTCTGTTTGATCTATGCAGCACAATTATAAATTTGTGTAATCACTTACCTCTAGGATGACCTTTAGGTGCAATTCCTGAGACTTGTAGTACCTCATTTATGATACCAAACAGTAATATAAAACAATATTTTAAATCCATTTCTCCAAAAGGTGGAGTTCTGTTTTGCTAAATCTCCATTTTAACCAACTTATCCGAATGTAGAAATTCACCTAGCTTACTTTCATCTTCATTATCAAATCTGTTTTAACCAATCTGCTTATTCCTTCTGTTTAATATGTTATCTTTATTAAATACAAGTTGAATCGACCAAACAGCCTAATTTGTGATTGGTTAACTAAGTATGTCTAACTACCCATCATAATTACTTTTAAATAAAGGTTACAGATTCAGTTGGCCCGAATATTATGAAGCTTGTTTATCAGTATGTAAACTATACAAGTTCCTTTCAGCCTCTGAGATCATTATGTGAGCATGAAATGTAGTTGCGCAATAAATGGGTGCAAGTAACTACTTGATCACAAAAACAATCCTACTTTACATGATCTTCCATTTAACAAACTTATCAGTTCACTCTTGATCTTAACATTTTACTCAAATGTATTTGAGTATAAGTAATTGAGTTTAATGAGTAAACGTATTTAGGTTGTTCACAAAAATTTAGTGTAAAAATAAATTAACAGTAAATTGATGAACAGGTAACTACAGAAGAATTAATGTAAAAAACCTACATATCAAAATTAACATTTTATTGTGTGACTTTATGATTTCATTCCCTAAAATAATAAAACTCAATAATTCTAGGCATTCAACGGAACATTTTTTGCTAAAATTATAAAAGTATTTGACAATTTTTCGAACTATTTTTCACACAACTTCTAACATTTTAGTGGTATAGCAACACACCAACTTGATCATATATCAGATTCATACATTTAGAAGATACTGCAAACAGTAAATGTCACAAAGTACGTAATTTTTCAGTTGTAGAAGAAGGTAAAGGGATCAGTTCAAATTTTATTATTGTTTGGTTGATAGTATTTGATATACAGACCAATTGTATTCTACACAAAGTAACAAACAAATGATAATGGATATAATAGAGCTGTGTTTTTAATATTTACAGAAAAAATATATAGGACGATAAAAGTAGAATAACTCTTACTTACTGACATTAAAAGTTGAACAAATGTTTACTTTGTATTTCAATGTAGTCTGTTTGTTGTTTAATGACGAAACTTAAGTAGGAATTCGTTATATATGTACAATACTTTGTAGTGAAGCAAAACAGAATTCCATTACAAAATCATACAAAGTTCATTCCAAACCGAGTAATATATTGAAAGAAGTAATAACTGGATTTAAAGAAAATTTAAACAACGTTGAACTTAATATAGTTCTGTAGGTCTTAAGAATTTAAAAACATCATTAAGTTTCTAGTATGTCCGATAAAAACAATTATATAGTATTCTTAAACAGATTTCATGTTACAATACTGTTTATTGGTTGAGATTACGTTTATTTAATTTCTATTGCCTTATATACGATATTAACATTTACATTTTCTAAATTTAGCGTTGTTATCTTTTGTCCCTCACATTGCAGTCACGCTCACTATCAAGATCACTTTATCATGTTCAATTAATTCATCATAGAATCAAGCTTCATGGTCCGGTTAAATCCTGGTTAAAAGCGGTAAGTTTTCTCATACTCAAACTTTACTTTGAATTAAGTTATTCACTAGGATTAACAGATGATTTATTTAAATACAAAGAATTTTTAATATGACTCTGTGAAACTCCGGGTATAACTTAGAAGGGATTCAATGAATTTGTTAAAAATATCAAATCTATCTCTGTAACACAGTTTACTCAAGATAAAATATAAGTAGATGGAGAATTTTGCATTGACACCCAAATTTAGTCAAGTCTTGTTTACTGTACTTTCAGTGGAAATGCAACAGTTCAACTCTTCGTGTACAATCTTTGCACAACGAATAGTCACATAGCGCCTTTCTAAAATATGAACTCATACATTAGATACATAATTTGTTTATCCTTCCTCAATTATCCTTTGCGTAACCATCATTCTTTCTATCCGGTTGTTAGTTTGATTACTATTTGCTTTCCTTCTTCCAATTCCTGCTACATACTACTTATATCTGTTCGTATGATTAGCGCACACCACGCCTTACCTTTTTTAAATAGCAGCTCAATGCATTCAATCGACATCTTTATTTATCTGTCTTACATTCATCTGATCACATCTGTTGCTGAACAGAAAATAATGAGAGCCATTACGTATTTTAACATCTATTTATTTCCGTGTTAATTTTGATGCACGTTTACAAAATGTTCAGTTATCAGCACACATTAGAAAAAACATCTATTCACTAGTGCGTTTTTCAACGTTTTCTAAACGTTTTAGAGTCTCCATATTGTAAAAAAATTACACCATTCATAATTATTCGATTCAACTTAATTAACTTATGTTATTAAATAGTTTTGGGATGATCAAGATAAAGTGGATTGATGAAGAAAGTTTCGGCAATAAAAAATAATGGAAGTTCAAGAAAATGATAAAGCATTCCAAAAAGATACTTTAAATTCCAAAATATGATTAAAAGAATAAGTTAGCAGTCTTCAACTATTGCGATATCTGACAAGTAATTTACTGACTCTACAGCAGGAATCCATGGTTGTGTAAAAAATAGCTGGTGTATAATTAAAACATACTTTTAAAACAAAACTGGTGTTGTAGTGAATGAAAACTCATATGAGGACAATTAATTTGTTGTTTTATGTATTAATCACACGGTTGCTTAGCAAAATATGGAAATCAAACAGTAAATATATCATTTGCGCATCTTCTTTGCATTGTTCATTATCTACTTCCTTTAATTCTGTCGTTATTTTGATTACTCTCCAATTTTGTTTCTGTTATATTTAATTTAGTCTTCTGGTTCCAGGCATTCCAATTTCGATTGTAGCTACATACTACTTATATTTGTCAGCGGAAGTGACATACAGTAAATTACTAGTTCTTTACAGTGATATTTCAATGTAGCAAATAAACAAAGTTTATTGGACTTTTAATCATTTCTTATAGACTGAAATAACTAACAACAAGCAAAGTTAAAAACATTAAAAAATACAAGACCGATTTGTATTCACAATGGCTTCTGAAAATACAGAAATATTCATTTAGTATAGGTAGAAAAAAGAAAAAAAGATTGTATGTAAGTTATCGTATGTACAAACCGAAAATCAAATTAATTGGTGAAAGTAGAAAGAGCATATTCTTTGCTTGTTTAATTTTCACGTATCATCGTTTTACTAAGGATGAGAATTATAAACTCAATATTTCGTTTTTTTCTATTACCCTTTCAAAATTCCTTGTGTTTTGGTTTAAAAAACAAACAAGAAATTAAGATCTTTTAATTTCTTATTGAAAGTTAGATGATTAATGATGAGGATAAATAGAGATTTGGGTTACTTATTATTTTGAACGTGGAAAAGTGGTTTGGTGGTGAAGGCTTTTAGCCTCATTCAACAAGTCACAGGTTTGAACCCCGTCACACCTATTGTTGTCTGAGAAAGCTGAATAGTAGGATTATGACCCCACACTTATAACATGACTCGTAGCTAAGCTCTCGGATCCATGCCTAGTAAGTGAGTTAATAAATATGTGAAAAATATCTATTATTTTATAATAATAATAACAATAATTTTATTATAATAATTCAAAACTCATACATATCAATGAACACCGTTTAATTTATCAGTATACATACTATGATACGCTCATTGATGATTAGCTTCGAAAGGTAGTTGTCGGAGTTCTAGTGAAAAGCTGTGACAAGTGGAGCTAATTCGTATCGCATGTGAGGTAGTTACCCAGAAGAAGATGTTTGTGCAATGTCTTGGATTTATTTATTTATTTATTATTATTTATTTGAACACATAAATATTGGTACAAGAGAGCGCCAATATATATGCGCCACACAAAACAATGGGAATTCGAAGAGAAGTAGAAAGAAAAAAAAAAAAAACTAAGGAACGCAAAAGAAAAAGAGAGTAATGACGAAGAGGTACAATCAGAAGAAATCTTTCACGTAAATGAGACACAACCACTTTTTATGAAGAAAGTAAAAGAAGGTTACAGCAGGATCGCCACTGGCTTCTATTCTGAGCCATATCTGATAACGTCTCTAGCCACTGTGTTGCACCATCTCTCGGACCCCAACCAGGGAGTCGTGAAGGACCAACACAAGCCAGTCCTTTGCAGCTTTCTTTCATGCCACGACACCATGTCATGCACTGACCACCTCTCCGCTTCTTCCAACCAGTCCCAGAGTCGGCAAATAATGCACGACGTGGAATTCTCTGGGACGACATTCGGAGAACATGTCCAAGCCACCGAAGTCGGTGTTTCAAGATGGTGACACCAATTGAGTTATCATCTCTGTGCCCGAACACACGATGCCGAACCTCTGCATTACTGACATGGTGTTGCCACTGAATGTCAGCAATCCTTCGGAGACAGCGATGATCGAACACAGAGAGTCGTCTAACGTCCTCAACTCGGAGAGGCCAGGTTTCACAAGCATAGAGCAAAACTGCTCTCACCGACGCGTTGTAGATCCCGCCTTTTACAGCCACACTAACATCACGAAGGCGCCATAGATGGCCCAGATTGGCATAAGCCGCTCTGGCTTTCACTATTCGTGCATTGATCTCATCACTCACACCCCCACCAGCACTTATGCAGCTACCCAGATACACGAACTTCTCAACTACGTCTATCTGCTCACCGTCCAGGGTGAGTACAGGATTAGAATCCTGCCAGTCTTGTAGAAGTACTTTGCACTTCGAAGGTGCAAAGCACATACCATACCTACGGACATTGATTGCCAACTGATTAAGTGCGGATTGCATGCCTTGGGCATTATCGCACAGTAAGACAATATCGTCCGCATACTCAAGGTCGAGAAGTCTTTCTCCAGGCAACAGATCCACACCACCATTACTTACATTCATCAGAGCTGTTTCCAGAATGTCATCGATGGCAAAGTTGAAGAGGAATGGTGAGATTGGGCAACCCTGCCTAACCCCACTGCTCGAATGGAACAATGGAGAGAGGTGGTTGTATGCCCTCACTCTGCCTGAGGTGTTTTTATACAGGGCTTTTAGGATGTTAATAAACTTCTCAGGCACACCCTTCTTCAATAGACAATCCCAGAGAACAGTCCTATCCAACG